ACCTGCAGATAACTCTCAGGAAGCAGCTGAGGACAATGAATAATCTGAAAAATCCTGAACAGGAAAAACTCTTATAAAATACAGTACAAGGTTACATTATGTTGAATGAGCTGATACATAAAGCATTATAAATAAAACAAACATACCTGAGCATGCATTTTCATGTTTGTTTGAAAATGTATATATATTGCATACATACAGGGGCAGCGCTGGGTGGGGAAAGTTAGGAAGATTCTAAAAGCCCATGCCATTTTGGGGCCCCCAAAGATACTATTAGGGTCCCGCCAGAACAACCCCTTGCCTCCCCTTTCATCTGCAACACCCACAAAATGTCGTCATAGTGCCCGTACCGGCCAGCAGCGCCTTTGTATTTATATACTGAACTATATATTGAACTCCTTTTCGAAGTACAGTTAAAGACATATTGACAATGAGAATGTTTTTTAACCAAAGAGTAAATAAAATCAATCAATAACTAAGTAACCACATATACTGTAAGTTATTTATTGAATAAGCAGTAAAACTTTATATCAAGCAAGCATCAAAGAATATTTGAATACACCAATATTTCCAATAAAGTTGTTAGGGTGAAACTGTGGGGAAATATTGAATGGTGAAGAAACCAACACACTTGACCACAATACTTTAGTCTCAGCTTAGCTCTGTGTTTGCCAAGTTGCAGACTTGTTTGGCGATAAGGGGATTCTAATATTATTTGTAATTAAATGAGGCAATCTGATTGCACCAGGAAGTTCACAATTATCTCATTATGTCTTTCCTGGGAATGAAAGAGAAGGCGATTGAGAGAGACTAACAAAGAGAATTAGAGAAGACAGACACACAACTACAGCCAAGCCTCAAAATGTCATTTACCATGCAAATAATGGATAGTTATTATCAGTGTAGCATATCTAGCTTTGAAAAGCACAAACAAAAGCCAGCTTTGCTAACCCGAGTTTAGGTGTCAGATAATTCTCAACTAATCTGTTTATCTGGTATCTACTGTTGATTTTCACACCAAATATTGATACATTGGAATACATTTATACATAATATAGAAATTATAGTGCATGGGTCATATATAAACTTGTTATGATTTTTGCCACTTACTTTGCCTTATGAAAAAAAACAGGATGTCTTCATGTGGTATTGCAAAGAATTAGTGTAAAATACACTAGATGCAATGTAAATATGGCAGAGGATAGCCATTGCTTTAGTAACTGTTAAGATGTAGATCTGCTTTTCCTACAATTTCACATCTGATACCATTTATTCCATTGGATCTATTTTACTTCATAAAAACAGCATTTATTTGCCAGAACGTATAGAGTTGTCAACAAACTGGAAAAAGCAACTGCATATTTATTTCAATGCAGTTGTCAAAAAGGTCCCATACCAAACTACAGTTTCATCTAAAATGCTTTGACAAAACAGTAATAAAATTGTAGGCTACTTACTGCAGTTCTGCTGGTCCACAGGCACCTCCTTTTGTCTGAGAGTGAATAAATCTTGTGCTTCTGTGCTAAACATGCACAATAAGAAAGTATACTCCAATTTATGTGATCTTGCAATGTAGTAATACTGAAGGTATCAATTTTTTTTAACATCTCCAATTTTTTTAAGTGCCCACGATAACAATACTGACAAATTTAAATAGACAATAAATTTAATATTTAATAGACTATATCAATAGCCTTGTCCTTTAGCAACCATCATATCAACAATCTGTTTTAAATACTGTAGCTTAACCTCATGGTAAATCCCTGTTTTGCCTTGTCACTGTAGAAAACTGCCAGCAGCTACTGCCTCTTCGCTTTCAAATATTAATGCACTGACATAAGCAAACCTTTTGTACTGCGCATACTGTCTGAATGTACTTATGACATAGTAAGGGGGTAAAGCAATCGAGTGATTACTTTTTTTAGAATTCAAGAATTGTTTTTAAAAAACAAATAAATGTGGAGGGGCAGAATGGTGGCACAGTGGGTATTTGGCATTTCTGTGTCGAGTTTGCATGTTCTCCCTGTGTTGGTGTGGGTTTTCTCCACGTGCTCTGGTTTCCCCCACAAATCCAAAAACGTGCGCTAGGTAAATTGGGTTAGCTAAATTGTCCGTTGTGTATATGTGTGAAAGAGTGTGTATGAGTGTTTCCCAGTGATGGGTTGCAGCTAAAAGGGCATCAGCTTCGTATACCTATGATGGATAAGTTGGCAGTTCATTCCGCTGTGGCAACCACAGATTAATAAAGGGACTGGGCCGAAAATAAAATGAATAAATGAATGATTAAATGTGGAGTTGTTCCAGTTTCCAAGACTATTTACTTAGGAACCATTTAATAGCCTATATGCTTTGTCTAAAAATAAATTTGAGTAAAATAATTATTCGTGCAAACAAGTGTTTGCCTACATATTCACACGCACACCAGCTGAGACAGCTACATTGTTAATGTTAAACTCTGACAATTATTTATTAAGGAAAAAATATATTCTACAAAGCTTATGTAAGCTAACATTATTCCAAATAAATCCAGAGTAATTAGAGGTCTAAAATAATAATATTAATTCTGGCTGTCTATTCAGAAAAACATCTTGACAATGTTTGATTAACTGGTAAAACTTTGTTTTGATGGCCCCTATTGCACAGTTTGTTGATTAAATTCTGCATTGCAACTACATGCCAATGATTTCTCATTTGAGTATAAGTAGACTGTCTGCTTAATATCTGCTAATACTGCTCCTTTAACAGACATTTAACTGGCTATCAGTAATTTTGCAAGAACATGTCAACTTACACTAACCATAACCCTAACCCCAACCTAACAGTCTACTTGGGCCCTATCATACACCCGGCACAATGTGGCGCAAGGCGCGACGCAATAGTTGTTTGCTAGTTTCAGCTTGGTGCAAGAGTCGTTTTGAGGCGTTGCGCTACACTGTTTAAATAGCAAATGCATTTGCGCTCATATGTGCGCCCATAGGTGTTTTGGTCTAAAAAGTTAGGCGTTCTTAAGCGCACTGCTGGCGCGTTGCTATTATGAGAAACTATAATAGATTTTTCAATAGACCAAAACAAACCCGTTCTAAACTCCAGCGCAGAGTTGCGCCTCGCTTACGCACTGCTTAATACACACAAGATGTACAGCAATACTCAAATATCTTTACATATGAAAAAGATATAAATGGTAAGGATACATATAGGATATAATAAGAGTATATATAGGATATAAATATAAAGGATTAACATATTTCAAAACTTTATTTTCTAGCCAACATAAATTTAAAAACCACTGCCTTCATACCTTCTTCATCTTGGGAGGCGTTTTCAGTTCATTCAATTTGCTTTTGTATATTATTATTATTAGCAGTATTATTTATTATATCTATATTTATATTTGTTTTATCAAAAACAAGCTTAGACTTGCCCACCTGTCAGATTGTAGACCATATTAGGCATAGCATGTGTATTAAGATATAACTCAGTATTTTGAACACACTTTGTTATTATTGTTCATTTATTCGTTTGCTGAAAATTAGAACTGAAATTAGAAATAGTTTTAAAACAAATCCCTGCGCTTAACAAACGAAATTAATTATTTATAGGCTAATTGATGTCTGTGCATAAAGGATTTCCCTATCCACGAGAGCGAAAGGGAAAGTTATTAATTTATCTCTCATTCTCGCGCTGTAGATGCTCTGTTTAACTGTTTTCTTGCTTGTGAAATGCTCAGTTTTTCCACTTCCACTTACTTTACGTCATATAAATAGCAAATGTGCCATGGCGCTACGCGACTGGCTCTTAAAGGGAATGGGAGATGGAACTCTGATTGGTTTATGCTCAAAACACACCTATAACTCATTAAGAAAATAAACTCAACTCTTTTAGACCATGCGCCACAGAGCAAAGTGGATTTTTCTGTCCTTATATTAGCAAAAATGGATTCTGACACGCCCTGAAAGCATCTGCTTTGCGCATGGATCGTCAAAATAGAGCCTTTATCTAATGAGAGTTAATTGGCTTGTAGATAGAATGTAACTTATATTCAACAAAATGCATTAAAGGGACAATCAAAATAAAGTGATACAGATTTTTTCTTTCACTTGTTATATTTATTTCAACTCTTTTGGGGCCTTAGTTTATCAATCTTCAATTGCATCTGCCCATAAAAATTTATCTAATTTTTGAGTGTTTTGGTCAGATCAGAAAAACTATATTAAACGTGCAGAGCAGTGGGACCACAAGACTAGAGATTTTCCTTGTTAAACTGGTTTCCTCAGTTTCCAAAAAAGAACCATTGTAATTTACTGTAATTATTGTAATTAACATATTTAAAGTTTTTGTGATGAAGTTACATATGCATTTGACCCAATTGCTTTTTGGATTGTGTACCAGTAGCTTTTTTCTTTCTTCAGCAGTTTAACTCAGCATCATCACATGAGTGATACTTGTTTTAGCATAGTTTATTATTCGTCACACTCTTAGAATCTAATTTAATTATTGGAAACCACGAGCTCTAAAGTTCTTTTAGTTTCAAACCTTGATGAGTTTCTTTCTTCTGTTCTGAACACGAAATAAAATTTTCTGTAAAAAGCTGAAAACCTGTAACCATCGACTTCCATATTGTTTGCTTTTCCTACTACAGACATCAGTGGTTAGAGGTTTTCAGCCTTCTTTAAAGTATCTTCTTTTGTGTTCAACAAAAGGTTTGGTATCACTTGAGGGTGAGTAAATAGTGAGCAAATATTCATTTTTAATTAAACTATCCCTTTAAGTGTATTTACTTTGCATCCATTTGCATTACTGCGTTATTTGAATGCACTTATCAGCTCATCAACAGAAATTATTTCTTTTGCAAACAGATATCATATTTACACTGATGTACAAAAGCATGTGAGCACTGGTTATGGAATCTCATTATTTAAAGCTTGTTTTACCACCAATAAGAAAGATGCTGTAAGGATGCAATTGGGTGAAAAATGTGTCAGTCTCATTTCTTATTCCAACTCTACTATATAAGGTGTTTAATAAGAGTCTGGGAAACATTTCTGGCATTTATATTGATCTTCTAGTGGCTCACCATGTCTCTTCACAATATGGTACTGTATCCATTTATATTGTAAATTTAATACAATTTAAAGTAATAAAGTGACATGGATATCATTAATGATGTATTAGCTATAATTTGGGACGTTTTGTTCCATTGTTTTGAGCAGTTTCTGCTTTGTTATTGAGTGTTTATTTATGTACACAGTAACTGTAAAGATATTAACAGTATAAGTAGTTTTACAATTGTTTATACTGGTTTTCAGTCTGGCAATTATGTTTATCATTTATTATAATGGTTTTTATTTTGCATTGCCATTCTTAATTTTGAAATCCAATGATCATAATTTACATCTTTGTCTCTTCTTTTTCAGCTGAGAGTGTTGATGTTGCTTACAGCAATATCATGCTGTAATGCTAAATCCAGAGTTAGACACAGAATTCTTAGTAGAGACACTTATGAAGTGTATGTACATTTATATATTATATAATATTTATTATAATTTTGCTGAGTATTTTTTTTTTTTTTGTAAAGTGCATCCTGAAAAGTTAGAATTTGTAAAATACTAATCAACATTAAATTGACTACATCTGTCATATTTCGATATTTGTTAAACTTTTGCTTTTATGTGTGTTGTAATAGACCTGGAATTGAGTACATGTCTGACAGTGAACTGTAAGTCCTTCTAAAATGAATAGTTTACATTTCATTAAGAGAGAAATACAGTAAGAAATAGACAGCAATGCTTGTTTTGTAGTTAAAAGTGGTCATTACAATGTTAAAACACGATAAAAAAAAATGACACAGGGCAGTTGATACTGTATGTAATGTAAACTGTACATTTGCTTTTGTGTGTGTGTTGTACTGTAGGAGACCAAAGTCTAAGATCAACTTCATGTCTGACAGTGAACAGTAAGTCCTTCTAAAAGGAACAGTGTACACTTCAATAAGAGAAAAATACAGTAATAATTAGACAGTGATGCTTGTTTAGTGGTTAAAATTGGTTCTTATGATTGATCCTCATTCAAAAATGACAAAGGGAAGTTATTACTGTATGTAATGTATACTGTACATTTGCTTTTGTGTGTGTTGTAGACAAAGCTCTAACATCAACTTCATGTCTGACAGTGAACAGTAAGTCATTCGAAAATGAACAGTTTACATTTCATTAGGAGAAAAATACAGTAAGAAATAGACAGCAATGCTTGTTTTGTAGTTAAAAGTGGTCATTACAATGTTAAAACACAATAAAAATGACACAGGGCAGTTAATACTGTATGTAATGTAAACTGTACATTTGCTTTTGTGTGTGTGTTGTAGACAAAGTTCTAACATCAACTTCATGTCTGACAGTGAACAGTAAGTCCTTCTAAAATGAACAGTTTACATTTCATTAAGAGAGAAATACAGTAAGAATTAGACAGTGATGCGTGTTTAGTAGTTAAAATTGGTTCTTATGATTGATCCTCATTCAAAAATGACAAAGGGCAGTTATTACTATGCAATGTATACTGTACATTTGCTTTTGTGTGTATGTTGTAGACAAAGCTCTAGCATCAACTTCATGTCTGACAGTGAACAGTAAGTCATTCGAAAATTAAGTTTACATTTCATTAAGTGAGAAATACAGTAAGAAATAGACAGCAATGCTTGTTTTGTAGTTAAAAGTGGTCATTACAATGTTAAAACACAAAAAAATGACACAGGGCAGTTAATACTGTATGTAATGTAAACTGTACATTTACTTTTGTGTGTGTGCTGTAGACAAAGGTCTAAAGTTCAATAAGAATTAGACAGCAATGTATGTTTAGTAGTTAAAATTGGTTCTAATAATGTTTAATCGTGATAAAAAATGACAGAGCAATTGTTACTGCATGTATACTGCACATTTGCATGTGTGTGTGTGTGTGTGTGTGTGTGTGTGTGTGTGTGTGTGTGTGTGTGTGTGTGTTGTAACAGCTCTGGAAGTGGTGATGTGTCTTCTTCTGAAAAGGAGGACGTGTAAGTCATTTTGTTATAATCACTGCAACATTTTAGATTTAGCAAGAGGGGAGCAGTTTCCATTTTAACATTGCTTTTTCATTTTTTGTGTTGTAATAGATCTGGAATCAGTGATTCGGATGGAGTGTCGGAAAATAACCAAGTCACTGCAAACTATGACCCGTAAGTCAGCCATTCTGACATAAACACTGAGAAAACGCTTACTAGTTAAGATCGGCTCATTTTATGTCAGTGTGACTGTATGTTTGCCTCTTATTTTTCATAACTTTACTTTCATAAACTAATTACTCATTCACTGTAAACAGACTTCAAATGCCATGTTTTTCTGTGTAACAATAGCAATGGATCGACTAACAATGATTACATCCCTCAAGACTACGGCCAGTAAGTCATTCTCAAATGAACAACGCAACAGTTTACTGTTGATGTGGCAAAATTACTCATTATGTGTTAGTGAAACTTATGTGGTTGCATATTTAGGTTGCTGCATCATAAGATGTTAATACAGTGGGTGAGAGAGCTTATTGTGCTGCAATTTAAGAAAACGTGCAATTACAACAGCAGCAAATTGAGAAAAGATTTTTATCCATTTGACAGCACATATGCTGTTAATAGTCACATAGCAAACATAATTTTTTGTAAAAACAAGCTGCATTTTCTTACAACGCAAACAATTAATAAAATGTGCTGCATTTTCTCACAACCCAAACAATAAAGCGCGCTGAATTTTCTCACAAGCAAACAATTAATAAAACGAGCTGCATTTTCTCAATGCGAACAAATCCAGAAAACGAGCAGCATTTTTAAGAGTTCACACTTAGCTGATGATTAATTATAAGCAAGTTTGGCATGCTGTCCCCGGAGAGCCCTGAGCTCAAAAGTAAATTGAGCCCTGGGCTCCCTCCCATTTGAGGACGAGAGGGCAGCCTTGAGCTCAGGTAGATCTCGACCACTCCCCCTTGACAAAAACTGATGAATAAAAATTGAATGCTATGAAAAGATATGCTGTAGGGTGAGAGTTTGACTGTAGTGTAAAATTTAGATTTATCAATTCACTTGTAGTGCAAGGTTTTTGGAATGTGGAAGGAAACCGGAGGACCCGGGGAAAACCCACACGAGCACAGGAAGAACATGCAAAGTACGCACAGAAACGACCACCGGCCTGTTAAAGAACTAAAACCGGTGGCGTTCTTGCTGTGAGGCAACAGTGCTAACCACTGGGCCACCGTGCCGCCCTATGGAGGGAAAGGTAAAGAGGTAGGGGTGGAAGGAGGGATTCTTCAAATCGAAGATGACTGTAGTGAAAAAACCCTGGCTCTTTATAGTGGGTTAGGAATGGCCTGATTGGTGGATCATGCATGCTAATGCAGAACCAGCCGTGTTCAATCATAATCACGTGCTCCTCTCGAAATTAGTTTATGAATAAACTCCACTTCTCACAACAATTTATAAAACGCGCTGCATTTTCTCACAACACAAACAATTAATAAAACGCGCTGCATTTTCTCACAACACAAACAAATTAATAAAACGCACTGCATTTTCTCACAATGCAAACAAATTAAGAAAACGCACTGCATTTTCTCACAATGCAAACAAATTAAGAAAACGCACTGCATTTTCTCACAACACAATTAATAAAACGCGCTGCATTTTCTCACAATGCAAACAAATTAAGGAAACGCACTGCATTTTCTTACAAAGCAAAAATTTTATAAAACGCGCTGCATTTTCTCACAACACAATTAATAAAACGCGCTGCATTTTCTCACCATGCAAAAAAATTTATAAAACGTGCAGCATTTTCTCACAGCAAAAAAAAATAAATTACGAAAACGTGTCGCATTTTCTTACAGACCCGGCTATATAGGATACAGTTATTTAGGCTAATAAATACTAAAGACACGAGAATCAGGATATTAAAATAAACAAACAAAAAACTCACTTTTCAAAGATCACCTACAACTTCACTGAGCAATAGTCATGGCACACGGGTGTCCGTCACGTTTTTGGTTACCTTTGAAACATTTCCGTTGTTCTGATGTTTTTGCGTTGTAGGAAAATAAATGCACACGTTTTATTAAAATGTTTGCATTGTGGGAAAATGCAGCGGACCTTTTTAATGTGTATACGTTGTGGGGATTTCCAGCATTTGTGCTGTCAAACAGAGAAGCTTTTCTTAATTTGCTGTTGTTTTTTGTAATTGCAAGTGTTTTCTTAAATTGCATGACGTAAAGCTCTCTCGGCCACCGAGATGAAGGAAGCCTCAGTTTAAAGGATTTTATTAAAGCCTTTGGCTGGAATAAAATCAGTTTTTAATCTATAAAAAAGCTGATTAACCTAGTTAAGTCTTTGAATTGTACTTTAAGCTGAATATAGTATCATGACAAAGGCAAAAAATAAATTAGTTATTAAAACTGCTGTTCAAAAAGTGTTAAAAACTATTCTTAAGAAACGTACAGTAGTTACAATTTTACCAAAGGATTAATAATGTTAACATCAAATGTATATCATTGTGTATGTCAGGATATGAGATGACTTGTATCATAATAAGAGATTTTTCTCATAAACCTACATACAAACACCATTTGCATATTTTTGTTTTTAAACAGATTTTACCATGATGACAACAATGGTCAAAATGATTCTGATGGCTCTGGAGCTGAACCACAAGAAGAAAACCAGTAACATCAAGAGATATCAAATAAAGCAAAGTTCTCCAATAAAAAAACAGGGTAATCCTGCAGATTTAAACAGCATTTTAAATAAAAATGCCTTAAAGTATGTATCTATGTATGTTTGTGCATTTCTAGAATATGTGTGTCATAAATGTGTCAACATATGGCATAATTGATGTACCAGGAGGCTTAAAGGGATGGGACACCCAAAATTTGCAAGCTGCTGTTCTTATATTTACCCTTAAGCCATGTGATTTGAAATACAAGTCAATGGCTTCCAGCAGTTTTGAGAGACAAAAAAACATATACAGTACATCTCCAAACAGTTATGAATGCACTATAGATTATTTATTGGTACTGAAATAATGTATCATCAGGAGCCAAAGTTTTTTTTTTTAATCACAAGTGATGGTACTGTAGCTGATGCCTTGTGAATCACCAATGACCACAGATTAACATCTAATTTTCTTTTTATTTCCTTGCTCTTTTTTTTTGCCCAAAATATTATTTTTTCCCCTTTAAAGTTGTGCAGTTTTCTTGTCAAGCAAATCATGTATTACAGGGGTATGACTAATAGACTAAAAAGAAGCTAAAAAGAATATCGTTTTTAGAGAAACAGGACACTGAATTGATAGGAGCACAAAATAATAAAATGACAAAGAAATAATGAACTGTTTTAATTAGTTATTAAGCAAGTGAGTTACAAAGGGTGGCTCTGTTTTGAAAAAATATTTCTTGTTTTTAATATCCTTTTTTTACTTGGGTTCATGAAAAACTAATAATTTGACTTATGCAACTCTGAAGATTTTAAAATTAAAATCAAAGAGTATTTTAGTAATGATAAATTATATATAATATAATATAATATAATATAATATAATATAATATAATATAATATAATATAATATAATATAATATAATTTAATAAGAGGGGGGTCACAGTGGCACAGTGGGTAGCACAATCGCCTCACAGCAAGAAGGCCGCTGTTTCGAGCCTCAGCTGGTTCAGTTGACATTTCTGTGTAGACTTTGCATGTTCTTCCTGTGTTCGCATGGGTTTCCTCCAGGTTCTCCGGTTTCTCCTACAAGTCCAAAGACATGTGGTATAGATGAATTGGGTAAGCTAAATTGTGTTTAAGTGTGAATGAGTGTGTATATATGTTTCCTAGTGATGGGTTGCAGTTGGAAGGGCAGCCGCTGAGTAAAACATATGCTAAATAAGTTGGCGGTTCATTCCGATGTGGCGACCCCAGATAATTAAAGGGACTAAGCCGAAAATTTATGAATAATATAATATAATATAATATAATATAATATAATATAATATAATATAATATAATATAATATAATATAATATAATATAATATAATATAATAATATGGGCAGCAAGGTGGTGTAGTGGGCAGAGCTCCCGTCTCACAGCAAAAAGGTTGCTGGTTCGAGCCTCGGCTGGGTCAGTTGAATTCAAATGAATGAATAACATACTATAATGCAATACTTGCATTTGCACTTTCCAAGTTCCTAAATTAAAACAACTTTTTTGAAAAGTTTCATATCAATTACATAAACATTGCTCCTTTGGTATTGGATTGGTGCTGCTACTTCTGTAAATAATTATTAATTATTAACAATTCTGAATGCACACAGACACACTCATTCTTTACAGCTAAAAACTCTGGGCAAAATCTTTTGTTTTCAGAATCCAGCATTCAGCAGCCTAACGCATAACATTTTATATTTCACACTTTGCTTAAGTTGTTTCTTCTCAATTTACTTTTAAAACAGAACCATAATAAAGAGAAAAATGATAAAGTCATATTTTATAACTGATCACTTTGCATTGAGAAACTCGACTAGTTCTTAAGAATATTTGCCAAGGGAAACTTCAATCAAAGATTGAATAGAGCTTTTATTTGAACTTCATGCATCAAGTGAAAGATTGTATATTTATAATATCCGACTCCACCAGTGTAATTATTTGGTTTGGATAAGTGCTGTAGATTTCCATCAATCGCAGATGCAAAGTACTGTAACCAGTAAGTAGGCCAAGTGTACAGTAGCAGAAAAATGAATAGGTTAACAATGATTTATCTGATGCACAGTAGTCATTCCAGCATACAGAGAATGCAGACTTTGGAAGAACTGGTTATCAATCAAACCTATATTTAAATTTGATTTATGGAAATGATGCAAATTAAATATGTTCTTAATTGGATTTCACAAATAAAAATATGTATATTAAGCAACATATTTTATAATATTAAGCAAAAATAGAAATATTTAACACATTTTTTTTTTTCAACCATTGGTATTGCATCCATGTTTAGATATAAAATATAAAATTACAGGTTATATAATAATATGGCCATATATGAATGCACATATAATATATATTTGAATATACAGTTGAAGTCAGAATTATTAGCCCTCCTGATTTATTAGCCCCCTTGTATATTTTTCCCCAATTTCTGTTTAATGGAGAGATTTTTTTCAACACATTTTTAAACATAAATGTTTTAATAACTCATTTCTAATAACTGATTTATTTTATCTTTGCCAAGATGACAGTAAATAATATTTGACTAGATATTTTAAAGACACTTCTATACAGCTTAAAGTGACATTTAAAGGCTTAACTAGGTTAATAAGGTTAATTAAGCAAGTTACGGTAATTAGGCAAGTTATTGTATAACGATTGTTTGTTCTGTGGACTATCGGAAAAAAAACTAGCTTAAAGGGGCTAATAATTTTGATCTTAAAATGTTTTTTTTTTTTTTTTACTTTTAAAAATGCTTTTTATTTCAGCCGAAATAAAACAAATAAGACTTTCTCCAAAAGAAAAATTATTATCAGACATACTATAATAAAAAAATAATAATAATGTTTTCTTCTGCACTATAGTACAGTATCATTTTCTGTAGCATTCAAGGGAAATACATTGGAGAAATATGATTTATTTATAACTTTGAGTTTGCTGTAATGCATATGAAGAGGAAATAGTTTCTCAACACACCCCTAATAACCCAAAATGTAATGTTGCTACCTACAACTACTGTACATCCACATCTATGCAAAAAAAAAATACAAAAATAAATGTGTTACAGATAATTCAAAATGCGGCTACAGATAATGTTGGATATATGAACAGCAGCAGTTTCCAAGCGAAATGTTCACATACCAGTGTTATGGCAAGACCACATGGTTTAGCAAAGCAAAGTTAAGAACAGGTATCTTTTTGCTTTGTCTATCTGCATTAGGATCACACTACTGTGGGTTTATTCATTTGATCTAATCCCTGCATCTCATTAAAACATCAAGAGATGACACTTTAGTCATCAAAAGACAAGCACTGGGTGTATTTAAAGTAAAATATCATTAAAAAAAAGAAAGTGCAGTCATTCCTTTACTCGCTGTTAAAATTGTATAAAGTAAACGTTGTCCCTCACCACTGGGATCTAAAGCTTGAAACAAAAATGCTATGGATTTTTTTAATGTTATGAAAAGTATTTCAAGTATTTTTTTGTGTTTGACTGAAGAAATTCTTTCACTGAATGCATTCCTTTACTACATAAAACAAAACTAGGGCTACACTGTTAACAATTTCCTATAAAATCTACAGTAACTTACTGGCACTTTTTTTAACCATTTTATAGTTCATTTGTGGAAAGCAGCTTTGACTTGTAAAAGCTGAAGACTTGAAGGTGAAAGGTCCCCAGAAATGCTTTAAAATGTGTTTCTAATTAGGCCTCATAAACACGGAGAAGATCAGCACTGTGTCAGCTGTCAGTTTTCTCATATTAACTAATTGAACTCTCGTTCTGATGGCCCAGTTACATATGGAAAATGAATGATCAAAGCTGCATTACTGTCTGAACATGGTATTATGAAACCACTTACACTGCTTAAAAAGAGCTGCCGTTGACAGACTTAATCTTTTTTAGCATTTGAACTCAGCATTTAGCACACAATGTCACGAGGTTGAAACTTGTCTCACTATAAGATTAACTGTTAATCAAATTCTCAGAATTCAAGAGAACAAATAAATGTGCAGTTGTTCCGGTTTTGAAAAATATTTATTTTATTGTTATGCTTCAGCTAAAGATGCATATCAGTAAAAACATTTCCTTATGCAAACAGATTAAATGCAAACAGATTAAATGCTTTCACACACAACAGTGCAAATGGTAAAAAAACAACTCACTAACAATATTGTGTTTTTACAATTAACAGTACATTTAAAATCAAAGTAAAAAAGTGTGCAGTGCAATTTTAAAAGTAAACCTAAAATGGGAAATCTATACATTTTTAGTCCCAAAACAACTACAAAAAAAGAAAAAGAAAGCATTTGTTATGTGCTGTGTACATGTTTTGTATTAAAACCCTTTGGCTGCTATTAGGATGAGAGTAAAAGTTGTGTTCAAGGTATGTTTCAAGCTTTGCAAACATATTTAAAGTGAAAATAAAAATAAACAAAACAAATATATGGTCTTGCAAACACCGTAATGATATCAATTCAACAAATTAGATTACTGCTTTGTTTCTTTGGCTTGACAATGTTTTTTTTTTTGTTTTGTTTTTTAAGAAAAATACCACGAGAAACTTATTTAATTAATTAACGTGCAACAAAAATCACCAAAAAAAGTAACTGTTTTGCATTCAGACACTCAGTTCTAAGAAATCTTTACCCAAGAGCAATTTGAATAACTTCACTTGAATTTCAAGCGTAACATCAATGTTATGATATCTAATATCTACAAAGACCCCACCAAAGTAAATTTGTGTCAGGCATAGGAGGAACAGCCTATTGATCACATATAAAGGAAGAACTCTATAAATTGTAGCAATTCAAGACCGTTCTTGAACAGTGCTTCTTGTGTTTTATTGAACAGTCTTGTATTCCTCACACAACACGGTACTGAAAAACCTTCTTGTTTTCTTCAACTGTTAAATGTAATTATTTTGTAATATATATCAGTGTATGGCAGACTAACATTCTATTTAAGCATCTTTACTGCAGTTTTCTTTTATAGATGTAATTAGCGTATCTTAATAGATTGTTTTAAACAAAACAAATTTAGCAAATGTACATAATGTATATTGTAAAAAAAAATTTT